ATAAAGGAGGTCATAACAAATATTGACTTTGAAACTTGTTTGAATGAACAAACTGTGCTTCATGTTTGTTATGTTGTATTTCGGGAATTACAAGAGACTAACCAAATGCATAGCAAATGAGGGCCCATCAATTCAGACATTTCTACCTTCCAGTACAGCATATCAAGAAATAATTGATCGACACAAATCTGCAAGTATTTTATTTTGCAAGTTTGGAGCTTAAAAGTAGACAGCTGTACAACTACAGAACAGAAATACGGCATGGTTTACGGAAGCTTTGCTTGACTTGGTTGTAGTGAGACTCGATGTTTCTACAAACACATCTCAATATGTTTGCATAAATAAGGGAAAATGCGAGTGTTGAGGCTACTCTTTAACAGCACCTCATAGTCACTGCATACACATCCTGTGTGCATGTGAGGTGGCCGTAAGTTGGTATCCTAATGGAAACTGTCTGAAAACCACAGAGAAAACAAAATGTGTGTGCACCGTTTTTTTGTGTGTTTTTTTTTGTGGTTTAAAACCAACAACTTACTGGGAATCCATGCAGAGTCTTATTTTGGTTAACCACCACCCTGAGACCAAATGTGGTGAGCAGTTAGTTGACACAAAAGACCAGAAAAATCCCATGTTTTTCACAGCTTTTAGCAGAAGTGGGTGAAAGAAAGATTCCCTTTGTGAGTTACGAAAGTGTGTCAGCAAAACCATTGCTCTATATGTGACCCGACTAAGCTCACATGGGGCCTGTACTTTCTACTAAATGCAAGAGTATAACATAGTCACTAGTTTTAATACAGTCTGTTCTTATCTGGCTTTTGCAAGATTCAAGAGCGATTCAAGATCTTCAATCTTGAATTTATTCTGTTTTATCTTGTTTGTGTTTGCACCACGCTGCTCCATTTTCCTGCAGACTCCTGTAAGTGACACATAGCTGTGACTGTTTATCAGTTATCATAAATTAGATGTAAATGCCAAGTAGTATTAATAAAATGAGAATCTTAAATGTTGGTTCAACAGCTACTTAAAGTTATAGTTTTTGTCAGACCCCCCCCCCAGTTGTGTGTGACCCTGTCTTTTCTTACTCAACTTTGTTTTGACGTGTTTTTTTTGTCAGAGTTGACATGAAAGGGTTTCTATTGAATCGCTTAATGTTAAATCAAACCCACATTTTAAGGCTTCGTCATTTCAAGAAAAGCCCACAACTTGATTCTGAGTAATTTTACTTAGACTTTGCCGTCAAGTGTGACAGTGTCGAGTGTTGAGTGTGGGCGTCCTGAATCTTTAAACAAGTTATGCCACAAGTTCTTTAAAGTGATTCCAGAAGTTGCACACTAAATCAGGGATATATACGGGAGGCTTTACACAGATGCTCCTCCAGAATCAGTGCTATTGATCCCGATGGAGTCTATTTAAAGTGACTCACATTTATTAGAAATTAAGAGAAGAAACCACAACACAAAATAGAGAGCTGATACCGCTGAATGAAAACAATGTTATCACTAGAGAAATGAAGGTTATAGTACAATGAATTACCACATCAGTGTGCCAGAATGGACACTGATGGGGATCTGTCAGTAAACACATCCAATAGGTCATGGGTTGCTGAATGCCTGACAAGTGGGCTGTAGTATCCGAGCCTGGAAGGTGGTCTGTCTGATGTGCCGTACAGGAGCTCAAAGGGGACTGTGCTGTCTTCATTCCTGTTCACTTCATACACCTGAGGGTTTCAGTACTACTTGGAGTCATGGCACATACAGAAATACTCAAATCTGCAGCAGATAGATGCAAAGGTGATGGGCAGGAGGAATAAAGAGTGAGTTTTGAGAAATGAATAATTTGCTTCTGAATGTGAATAAGACCAGATAAACGGTGATCGACTTCAGAAAGAAGAGGAGGGACACGCAACAAGAGTACCTGGGCTTTTATGTCGACAACAGGCTGAACTGGAAGAGCAGCACTGAGGCTAAGCACAAAAAGAAGTTGAGTGGCATCTATTTCCTGAGGAAGCAGAGATGCTTTAATGTGTACAGCAAAATGATAGATTGAAGACTGATTTCATATCAATCAGTTGTGGGAGCGCAGCATACTTTGCATAGCATACTACCAGACGGAATAAACTGATTATGAAAGCTGTCTGCAAACTGGACACTTAGGAAGGAGCGCTGCAGAGGAGGTCACTGAACAAACGTTATCCATCATGGATAATCCTGAACTCCCTCTGCAGCACTTGTTGGCAGACAGGGATTTTCTCTGACAGACTCATTCGGCTCTGCTGCCACAACAACAGAGACAGGAAATCTTTCATACCATGCCGTCACTCTCTATAATGCAATATTCCTCTCTGGCAGAAATTCTATTACATTATTAGACAACAAATAACATTAGCAGAGTCATGCGAAAGTAGGTTAAACAACAAATGAAACTTTAACTAAACAAAACAGCGAGGCAGATAATAAAAGCTACGTGCAGTTCAGACATGACAAAGGTCCTAAATGGGAGTGTAGGTTATGTACATTTCAATGCTATTTATTTTATAATTTTTGTCCTCCTCATGTTTCTCCCTCCCCTCACTCCAAGCGGTCGTGGCAGATGGCCGCTCCTCCCTAAGCCTGGTTCTGCTGGAGATTTCTTCCTGTTAAAAGAACGTCTTTCTCTTCCCACTGTCATCAAAGCTTTTGCTCATAGGGGGTCATATGACTGTTGGAGTTTTCTCTGTTTTCTTTGTATTATATATAGGGTCTTTAAATTAAAATATAAATCGCCTTGAGGCAACTTTTGCTGTAATTTGGCACAATATAAATAAAATGGAATTAAATTGGCATTTCTTGATATATTTGTTTGTTTGTTTGTTTCATTTTGATTAAAGGCCTACAGACATATGTATATATTCACTTTATTAGCCCTGCTTCAGTTGTTACAGAAGCAGAAGAGCAAAAAAAAAAATCTAATATATAAAAATCTACTTAATTCTCCGCTAGAATATTTGTGTAACGGCGATATCGCGACAACCTACTACTAAAATCTCGCGATTTCTAGATTAATAACATTCGAGAGGTGTCTGCCAAGTTTGCTAGTATTACTAGCAGTCCGGAAATAGGAACATTTCAAATTAAGGGGATGTAAGCCTCTTATCGTCTTTCTTAAGTTTAAGAACAAGTTTAAGAACACAAAACATTGATAGTATAATAGTATACGTTATTGTTGTTGTTATTATTATTATTATTATCGCCTAAAATTTGATATAGATATAAAATTATACCTAGTTTGTTTTTTTAAGCTTTTATTTTGGCGTCACCGGATATTTGCTTTCACATTGTTCGCGTTCCCTTCACGCGCTTCGTGAGGGCTTCGTCTCAGCTTCAGCTAAAGAGCAAACAGACAACAGCTGTGTTTGCTTGAAGTATCAACCTTGAAGCTGAAAATACGGGACTTTATCGCCACTTGAAATTCAGTAATATCGTTTTAAAAAGTTATCTGAAACCATTAAGGAAATGAAATAGCTGTCATTTTACATAACCACAGAAACGGGCGAGACGCAAAGGAGAAATAATAACAACATCAAAACCCGGCAAACAAAGAGGTCCCCTTTTCAACGGCATCATTTTTCCTCCATATTCTATAGTTATGAGTCATGTGGCCGTCGAAAATGCCCACGGTCTAGAACAGCAGGTAAGCTGTGTTTCTTTTATATGTCTTAAATGTTCGCTTTAGAAGTAATGTAAAAAACGGCGGTGGTAAACATTAGCTTGCCGGCTAGCCTGGGTCTGCTAACAGTGTGCTATTGTGCTAGCTTAACGTCGGGTGCGCTGCTTTTGTTCGCACACACGTCTGACGGTGGCTGCGGAGCATACGACATGGAAAAATGTTTTGGCTCCTCTACAACCTGACCAAGAATGCCTTTATTAAATTGCATTCTAGAAATAAAACGTCAGTGTTTTTCTGCTAGACTGATCGGTGTTCTTTAAAACGAAGAGCTAAATGCGAAATGACGCACGAGTGCTTCCTCTGGCCCCCTCATATGAACACATGAAACGCACCCCTCAACTGTTACGTCCACTGCGCTTGTCTTGCAGCTCGATATAATAATAAAATGGAGGTCAACGTGGCTGGAACCTGCGGGTCTGCTTGCTACACAAACAATGCGGCGTGACTGTCGCCCTCCCCGGCTTTTACATGATACGCAGCATTTTCCAGACTTCCATGTTTTTATGTTGACTGCGTCCCGCTAAGAGACGGTCATTTCTTCTGCGTCACCAGCAGCGTAGTCTATCTGTGTCTGGCTGGATGGCAACAGAAAAGTACTGCATGTACTCGGTTGATATTTTGGAGAGCCCCTATTGGGGAAAAATTTCTAAGAAGGAGTGTGATGCGCAACCTAGGCCCCTATTTCAGTGACTTATACATCCTCATGAGTTTAGTTGGCTTAAGCTGAATGTCACCGCCGCCACCCCCCAACACACAGTTAGATTTTTGGTAATGAAAGCATTAAATACAAAGTTGTTCCCTGGACAGCAGTGAGATTTGACGCACCAGCATCGCATCTCAGTATCCCAGACCAGCTGTGGCTGGGTGCAGTTTGCTGACATCATCATGATAGGAATTCAGCACGCTGGAGCTCACATCGCTGTCTCCCTTTCCCTCGCTGTCTTTTTTTGTTTTGTTTTTTAAGTCTGCTGCAGAATACAAAAATAAAAACGACTTCTAGTTTTCTTTTTTCATGTCAAATCTGAGTACTCAAACCAGTCCCTGCAAACAAATTTTTCACACTCCTTATTATACAGAAACATTTTTTTAAAAGGTAGGCAGCAGCTCTCTGTGTCACCTACTCTTAAGGATAAGTGGTCTGTGGCCTCAAACACAGCCTGCCTAACAATCTAAAGACTAGTTTCCACTTATTTGGTTTTACAGGCATTCTTAATTTATTGGATTAAATGTTGCTTGGGTGTAATGGAAAACTACAGAAAGAAACAGGGGACCCAACGGTATTCGAGAGGAAAAATATTGACTTGGGGTTGGTGATGGTGGATACATATACCAGTGACACTGAGCTGTCTTGTAGCATTAGCTACTGAAAACCTAGACAACTGAGGACCAATAGGGAGATTACTACAGAAATGCTACTCTGTGTTTGTGTTTATGATGGAGAAAAATCAACTTGTAATGTCACCAGTTAATGTAAGACATGGGCAGTAATAGCTTTGATAATTCATTCTGTTAAAACGTAACTTAAAGTTTTAGGTTGCTTGAAGTGGGTCAGTGAGTCTTTTTGTGTTTTGTTTTGTTTTTTTTCCCTCTCTAGCTCGCTGTCCTAGACTTGAGCGCTGCAGACGGACAAGGTGGCGGCAATAGCAGTAAGCAGCCTTTGTGTTTTTGTTTGAATTTTTCATTTTGTCATGATAAAACAAACAGGTTTAATAAAAAAAAAAAAAGTGACTGCTGTATGTCTGCACGTGGTACAGTGTAAATGCATCCCTGGCACAGTAAGTGCTGTATGATGATACTGAAAGCAGATGTTTCTGTTAACTTAAAATATGCATGTCTTTGGATGCTGCAAAGGTTTTGAAGAAATTTTGTCTTTAAATCTTTTATTATTCATTAAACACGGTGACTTTTCAGTTACGTGATCTATTTTTATTTAAGTGCAGAACATCTGTTTTTAATGCAGTGACATTTAGTTGCAACCATGTGAAAATGAATATTTGCATTTCACCTTTAAGTTTTTTTTACGTTATAGTTTAATAATCTTTTGTCATTAGAGTCATAATTTGGGGGTCAACCTTGAAATGGTTAGTTAGATTTGATTATAAATGCAGTGTGACGTAAGCGCTGACTGATTTTTGGCTGCCTGTCTCTTTTACAGGGCGATACATACCACCACATTTAAGGAACAAAGATGCTTCCAAAAATGGTGAGTAGGATCCACTTAACCTTGTTTCCTATAAAGAAAAATCTCAATTGTGTTTATTTTTAGGCCACTGGGAACTCCCATCACTGATTCCTACCAAATAAATCATTTTCATTTTCAGCTTTCATAGCTGAATTTCTGTGTTTTCACTGATTGATTCGTGAAATCCATCGACATCCTGATATTTGATGTGATGTGCGAAGGGCAGGTCGAACTGCGAAAGTGCACTCTCATTGGCTAATGATTTGTGATTGCCAAGTACCAATGAGCGTACCCTGGATAATGCTCCTTTGTGACTCTTAAAACAAATAAAATTTACAAAATGGCCTTTAAGTTGTGTTGATTGTGACCTGAAGCAGGAAATGTTTTAGTGAGGTCACAGAGAGGGAGCTGATGTCTGGTTTTCCCTATATGGCAAATAAAAAGAGTGCACGTTTAAAGCACTTCAGGTCTGGTTTTGCTTTTCAGACACAATTTTCAGCTCTGTCCATCTTTATTTCTCTATGGTCATCAGTAGGTCTCCTTCCTCTGTGCTCTGTTTTTTAAACGTTACTACCACCTATGGTTGATTTTTGGGATAGTGAGGAAAACATAGTATTCTAAAAGACCCCACACTTGTAACTCTACAAAGTATCTCTATTATATCAGCATCTGTTTTTAACCATGAGTTACAACTGGAATTTCATCTCCTAATCCAGCAGGAAATGCCTTTGCTGCTGGGCGACAGGGTGGTTACACCATCGCGCCTGCAGCCAACTGTAAGTTCCTCTCTGAACTTCTGATTTTCTTGGATAGAGTTGTGCAGAAGTTGGGGAATTGGTCTTTTTTTATATTCATTTTAGAGTTGTTGTTATTTTATTTTATTTTTTTTTTGTAAATTGTTGACTTATTGATGAGTTCATAGTGAATGCCTTAACATTTAAGTGCATATCGGAAGCAGCAGCAGAAGCATCTGAAAGTGCTTCTTTGAGTTGGTTTGTTTAATCATTTTGACCTGATGCATCTAATTTCCTACCTTTTCACAAAAGTACATTTTTCATTCATAATTAATTTGATAAATGTCAAAAGGGCTAAAATATAATTGCTGGTGTTTTATTGGTATGCTGAAACAACACTATATGGACAAAATACTGGGCCACCCACACATTACACCTACAGAAGCTGTTGATCATACCATGACGCTCCCAGCACACAGTTTTTGTGCTGATGTTAATGCTAGAGGTTTGCTGAGTCAGCAAAGCGTCGGCGACTTTGCGAGTTCTACACCCGTGACAATGGGACTGAAAACACTTGAATTTAAAAGATGTAAGAGGTGTAGCCAAATACTTTTGCCCATATAGCTTGTATTGCCAGCGCTCCACCAATAACAGCAGTGATGGTCATGAAGACGATGTTCCTGCAGGTGTGATGGTATTTATTAATTATTTTGTGCACTGTTTCCTCTCTGCAGACGGCTGGGACGGCACGCGCAACAACTTTGTCAACGGCTACCACGACAATCGCATGACGGGCAACTCATTTAACCGTGGCCCGCCTCGCATGGAGCGGGGAAGAGGTGGCGTTGGAGGTGGTTACCGCAACAACAGGGGTGGAGCCTTCAACCCCATTAACCCAGCACAGCCAATGGGCTTTGCTGGGTTTGAAAATAAAGGTGCGAGTCCAACATTTCTTTTACTTAGCTCGTGCA